CAAAAGCTTAAAATACACAGTCATTCACCATTAGCAGGCATACGGTAAGACGCTTGTTTCTTCAGTATTAGGCGAGTTCTGTCCCCCTAAGCATGCTCATTCAAGGTAAATTGAGCCAATTCAAAACAAGACTATGCCCACTGACGAAATTCGAGTTGCCGCCTACGGGAGACACAGACTGGTCTGAATTCCACACAGAAGCACCAGGTTTCCCAAAATTGTTCCGGCTAATTTGATACAAGACTTTCTTAGGTCCAGTCGAAATGTAGACAGCAAAGTTGAACTGCCGTTCGTGAGACTGAAAGAAACACAAAATAGTGCTGACTCAAATGTAAGGTAAGCATCGGCTATCGACAGTGGCCTGGAACGACAAAACAAATTACTGTAACCGCCGAAATTTGGATGAGCCGCAGCATTCGAACGGGATTGTTTTGATTTTTCCTTCCCTATTTTCTTAACCAATCAACAGCGCAGCAGAAAGGATAAAATTCCGCATTGGGAGAGCAAACATTCGCTTTCTGAACTGCGGGCAATTGGGGAACAGGATTAAGAAAGTGCATCGCGTATAGCAGGAGAGCGGCAGCAAAAAAGGCCGGATCACTGCACGGCATTGTTAAAAATGTTAGTCAAAGGGCCGAACAAAAAGCGTTGCTGTCCTTCTAACTGAGTCCACACATCACCCCTAGTATACAAAAGAACGATTCGCTAAGTTAGAACATTTAACGAACCAGTTTTAAAACATGGCAGTTTCACGAGGCAAGGCTTACCTGCATCTTATACGAGGGAATAAACTTGCAAAGTTTCTTCACGAGAGCTTTCATTTCTTCAACTGTCTTGTTATTTTTCAACTCATTCTCCAAGTAATTAGTCACAAGTTCACACAGCATGCACGAGTCACCCAAATCGGTCTTTGGCTTCTGCTTGACCTCCGGACATAGGTAAATCTCCTGGAAGGATAGATAAACGAAGAGGTTTATTTAAAGGCACACACACACACACACACTCTACGGCAAGTTAATGATCAAAATTTGCACATCCGCCACAAGCAACAACACTAACATCTCCTCCTTGGGAAGTTTGACCAGCTCCTGGCCTTCATGCGATCGCACAGAATA